TTAATTAAGCAGAACCCTCTACCAATATAGAGACCACTTCCGACAATTATCAATATATATATTTGTACGTATATTACCGATATCTATATCCAATGATCACCAATATCATTATTGGTCTCCGGGTAAAAGTGTCGATGCCTTAAAACTATTGACAAAATGTCCACCACGGACTAAGATACATCTAAGTAATATCGGTCTAAAAGATACGTCCTGGTCTATGCCCTCACTAAAGAAATGCTTTGTCGTCCATTACTTATACACAGAATTCTTCTCGGTCAGTCGGCCATGCTTTGGGACAGTTTCCTTAGTTAGGGTATATTTTTATATGGCAATGTAGAGTTTATAAAGCACGTCCAAAGCTGGTACAGAATTATATTATCTCAGCCAGTGTGACGTTACATAAATGTAAAGACATAGTCTACAGGACTGTACTACATTTGTGAGTTTCACCTCAGTAAAACAAGTACAGATTGTATTTTACGTTTAAAGTGAAATAAACCGTTATCAGACATTTGTTAAATGACGGCGAGACATTCAATGGTTAAGTACTTCAATTTTCCTGGTTAATGGATCCTCGTGCCACTGTAGAAACATCACTTTTGGTGAACACAACGTAAATGCAGATGTAGTACCACAACACAATGCATTCTAATGACCCAATCGGGAACCCTCGGCACTTTCCCCAAACGAAAAAATACATTGCAAGCGGAAAGTGACGAGGGATCCCGATTGTCTAACGACAATGGCTTCCAACCACTGGAATATGAATTCAAATTCTAGGATGAACAACTGTAAGCTGGAAAAGGAAAAAAAAATGATTCATTATTATATGGTATCAGTTTTACACACTACTATGTAAAACCTTGACGTCTGATTATAAACTGAAAAGATTATGTCAAACTTTGTTACAAAACTTAGCATTGACGTCCGCGCATCTTTAAATAAATGAAATTCTGTTCATGTGATCACTACTATTATCACGTGACACGGATCATGTGAGTGGTAATTGCAACACACACACAGTGTACAAAATGGCAGACCTGTCAACGTGGATAAACAACCGGATGTAACACTCCCGTTTACCGCGAATCGATCGACGTCAGCTTTGTCCAGTACCTGCTGTTATAAGTAAGATATATCTATTTTAATACTGACAACATCAAACAATTTTGCTGCACACAAAATCGATATATCAGGTTAGTACGTTTATTACTATTTATAGAACTGTAGTGTACGATGTTAACCGAGAGGCCTGAAGCTATGATATATGTTTTTACGTTAAGGTAATCTTTCCTGATGTTTGTCGATGTTAGAAATTTAGTGCTAGTGACCTTAGATGCGTTCTTTCAGTAGTGACGGAAAATTATGGTCACGAGTCTTAATGCACTGAAAGGTTAGAAATCAGGAGATAATATATATACAAAATACATTATTTTGCCGATAGCTAGTCACTACAGTGTATATCAAGTAGGCATATTTCAAGCCTGTTGTAACTTAGGAATCACTTATAGTTCAAATATATGTCTGGAAATGTAAGCATAGAAAAATAGATACACATGTACTTGAGATTCAGGTGTACACGATTTGTAGTTCTGCACATCTGTAAATGTATCTAGTATTCATCAGTGGCCTAGCAGGCATTAGTCTTGATATTAAAGTATCATTTTATGTAGATATGTTTGCATATATCTCTGTTGAGCTATTAACCAGTGATGTAAGAGATAGAAACATCAATAAAACAAAAATGACACCAGATTGTTCAGGCCTTAATTTAATTGTCTCCCATCTGTTGCCATAGTATTTTTCAACATGTATGGTTCCATGTCAGTTTACTGTTAATCGACAGAATATGGAAAAAAAACTTTTGTAAATAAATTTACATTTTTTATTGGAAGTAGGATCAATAAAAACAGTACAAGCTATATATCTGTAGGAAAAAATAAAAAAAGTTTCACTGAAAGTGTCCTGCTGTGTTGGTGGTAGCAGAGACATATATAACACATATATATAAGTCTCTGGTGGTAGGATGATATTGATCACAGTGTTATGGTTACTGTAGAGAAGTCTTTACATTATTCTAAGTGGAAAAAGAATGAAATATTTTGATTTGTGAAATTTTACCAATGATGAAATAAATTGTAAATTGTATCAAAGAATCAAGTTCAAATCTATAAGTTAAAAATATTTAAATTTGAAAGTGACTGTTGTTGTTGTCAAAGCATATAAGTAATTTATAGATATAGCTAACTTATGATGAAACTTTTATAAAATCTAAATCTGGATAAGGATTAACAAATCTGTCTGCATTAAAATTTAAGCTTATATTTGGATAAACGTTTTCACAACTATGATTGCTGCCCTAGTTCTGTCATCATCATTCGGTAAAGAAGGTTCTGACTAAGATAGATGAATACCATCCTGTGAAAGTTTTGTCACCGCAGCATTCATGAAGCCTACATATACTCTGTTGTATGTCTCAAACTTGAGAGATCCACAAACTCACCTGATCCATAAACTCACCTGATCCATAAACTCAACAAATCCACAAACTTGCCTGATTCACAAACTCAACAGATCCACAAGGCCACCTGGTCAACAAACACACCTGATCCACAAACTCATCTGTTCCACAAACCCACAAACACAACAGATCCAAAAGGCCACCTTGTCTAGAAACACAAAACATCCACAAACTCACCTGTTCCACAAACACAAAACATCCACAAACACACCTGTTCCACAAACCCTCAAATACAATAGATCCACAAGCTTAACAAAATTCATACTGCTACTAAAGTGATCAATTGAAATCAATATTTGTCAGTCAAACTTCTTGTACATATATCCAAAAGTTAAACTAATTGACAAATTGTGTGTATTCCACAAACTTACATCGTATCAGAACTAAACTCAGCTGTTGATAATGTGACGAAGAAGAAAACAATGAATTGTATATACATGTCAATTTGTAGGATGCTTAGAATAAGGTTGTGAACTGAAAGATAACCTGGTAATTTTTATAAGGTAAAATGGCCAATTTTTAAAATTTTACTGTCTCATCATAATTTCTTGTCATATGATATTTCGCAATGTTTAGTGTATATGATAAGAATTCAGACAATGTTCCAGTCAGATGTAAAACCTGAGACTGTACCCTGTAGACAGGAGGTATGTCAGACACCCAGTCACCTTATAGAGACATCAGCTGGCTGTCTGGATGATAACTCAGTACAACTGACCTCAGTCAGAACATGATGATAAATTTTCACACATAGAGGACATGTTCATTGCTTCTTCAAGGATTGAAATCTACATTTTGTCCAAAAAATTAAAGTCTTTCTTGTACAAATTCGCTTGAACAAATCAAATCATATTAAATGCAATTTGTGTCTAGACCATGCTTGATAATAAGCCCACCCATATTTGTAGGAGTTGCAGAAACCAATCCCAACTTATGCATTTGTTATTGTAATAAGCCTAGTTCCCTATTTTGAGTCAGAGGCAACATTCAGACCCCAGGACTTACTTATTAAGTATATTGAACAGTTGATCAGATGTACAATAAGGATTTAAGTTAGTACATAAGTGACAATGTAACTGTACTTAGTGACCCCTTAATGCTTATGGGTTTCATACCAGTATTAGTGAATCAATATATATTTGGAGGAAATATTTGAAAGACAAACACTTTCAATAACCAATTTTTATAGCATGGTTAGAACTTATCACAGTGCTGGCTGCCCATTTGTACCTAAAATGTACTGAGAATCAATGTTAAATGTCCACTTGTATTTTGTGTTAGTGGTCAGTCCATTTGCCTGTCCATCCCCACTGTGTGCAAATTTTCCCAGATTTCACATTGTGATGCAATGTGAAATCAGGGTCATTTTATGGTCAAGGTAGATTTTCATACATTGTATCTCAATAATATAACACTCAAGTTAAGCTTATTTCAATATCGAGGTTCAGACACTGATTCTGTAAGTAGGATGGATCATAGTTTGACTTTACCCCCTCCTCCTTGCCCCTCCCTTTCACCCTTTCCCCTCCTAATTCACCCAACACACTCATTCTGATTTATCATTCACCATGACATCCTCACCTCCAGCTTGATTGATACTTTGATTGGATAACAGATGTATAGAAGCCTGTGTTGTTGACATGATTTTTTCCCTATGTAAATATTGACTCACCTGCACAGCTAATTGTTATCAGGGATCAATGTGAGGGTTGTTGTCGTCGTACATATAAAATATCAGATCAAAGTTTCTACCTAACAGCCTGATTCAACCAGACAGAGTTGCATCACTTTTGTGTTGCCTTCATCACTAAGATAAAACTGCTCTAGATTACGAACATTAGGACACAATCTCTTCTTGGCTTCCCAACAGCTGACTACCTCAAACCTGACCAGGACACAGGTATGATCAGATCACAAATGTGTTTGAAAGACTGACCACAGAAACTTTATTAGACCACTTTGATCAGGGACTGACCAATAAGGGACGCGGACCAAAAGGACTCAATTCTGTAGGAACTGGCCTGAAGGGACTCAATTACAAGGGGACTTGAACCAGAGGGACTCAAATCAGACTCAAATCAGGGACTCAATTCAGAGGGACTCAAATCAGGGACTCAATTCAGAGGGACTCAAATCAGGGACTCAATTCAGAGGGACTCAATTCAGAGGGACTCAAATCAGAGGGACTCAAATTAGAGGGACTCAATTCAGAGGGACTCAAATCAGAGGGACTCAAATTAGAGGGACTCAATTCAGAGGGACTCAATTCAGAGGGACTCAAATCAGAGGGACTCAAATTAGAGGGACTCAATTCAGAGGGACTCAAATTAGAGGGACTCAATTCAGAGGGACTCAAATTAGAGGGACACAATTCAGAGAGACTCAATTCAGAGGGACTCAAATCAAAGGGACTCAAATCAGGGACTCAATTCAGAGGGACTCAAATCAGGGACTCAATTCAGCGGGACTGACCTTTATGGGAATAGATACTTGGACAATCTCTAAAAAGGTATAGATGAACGTGAATGTTTTTCAAGATTTAAAAAGTTTTTGAAATTGTTTACAGTAATTTATTGTAATTCAAACTGTATAGAAATGATTCAGGATTTTATCTATAATAAAAATATCATACTTAAAACATTATTAAATTGAAAAACTATAATCAACTCTCTTGCCAGAGCAGTTCTCAAAATATTTTTGTGTTATTTTCAAACATTTATAATTCTGTGCAAGATGTGGTGTATTTAAGACATGAGAAATGATAATGAGCTGCCACTTTGATCTTTGTGTTTATAATAGTCATTGTATATTATGCTGTATTTGAAATGTGAACTATAAACATAAATACAATTGTTATTTCAAATTAAGATGGAAAGAAAAAGTTTATATTATGTGAAATGTTGATTTGACACATAAATTAAACTAACATCTGAACATCAATATTAGATTGATCAACTCGTAGAAATTCTTGTCAGATTCAAATTATTAGATATGAGAAATATACAAAATTGATTGAATTATTGGGCTAGTGCACCTCTATGTCGCAATTTTAAGGTTTCTTTTGATCAGTTTTGGTTTTTCTCAGTCGCCTCCTGGTTTCGAACTTTAGACCATTAGTGTTACTGACGCATCCTAGAATTTGTAATAAAATGTGCTATTGATTGGTGTGTCCCTTGTATTTGACTTGTTTCAGATCTGCAGATTTAACATATTCAAGTAGTTATGAAAACATAACAGATTTATTTTATTGTTAAGAGCTCTAGTAAAACTATTTTGCTTTGATTTGAGTCTTAATTAATTCAGAACAGATATTTTTCATGGAATTTATGAAAAACACATGAACCAGCTGTTACACTTGATATATGATCCATACAGGTTTTCATCTTGATTCCGGCAGCCAGACACAATGACCAGTTTCGGACAAAAACTCCTGAGGAGGAAGTTTGTGGATTTGTCGTCGGTTACAAACACAAAATTAGCACGTTGCCTCACTACCCTGGATTTAACAGCTTTAGGTAACTGTATTCTGATCTCAGTGAGATTCATGTAGACATATCAGGCGTAAAATTGTTAATAGATTTGATGATCGAAATCAGGAATAAAAAAATCACATATTATTTTCTAATTATCAAATGTTAAGAATGTTTGTCTATGGTGTGGAAATATAATTTTCATCCAATTAAAAGATATTGTTAATTAAAGTCTTAGAATACACTTGTTAATAATTGTGTTACATGGCCCCAGGAATGACTGTGAGATTTCTTGCTAAGAAATTTATTATAGACTGGCATGTTTTGTTTTTAAGACTTTCAAGTTTTGTCAAGACTCAGATTGTTTTATATAGTTATTTGAGTTTTTCATTGACTTATCTGAGTTTTTTCATTGTGATATTGGAAAATTTTCATTAAAACTCATGAGTTTTGATGTTAAGAGTTGTGAGTTTTGATTGATGAGTTGTTTTTTATTCTATTAAAAAAGGTTTTATAATTTTGATACTTCAATATGTAAACATTGCTTTTAAGACTTTTAACTTTTGACACTTTTAAGAATTTTGCCGTGAGAGTGAGTTTAGTGTTCACACTTTTGAATTTCGTCTGCTTAAAAAGATATTCAAGTATTTTTCATTAAGACCTGGAAGATTAACCGTTATGATTTGCTAATTTTATTGTTTAGAATTGTTGGTATGAAGTGGTATCTATTTACAGGTATTGGAAGTACACTTGGAGCAGGTATTTATGTGGTTGCCGGGCAGGTTGCTAAGGAAAAGGCAGGACCTGCTGTAACCATTTCCTTCTTGATTGCCGCTCTGGCGTCAGTTCTGGCAGGTAAAAATCTGACACCTAGGTGACCAGATAATATTTTATTATATTATACATATATTAACTTAATGAGGCTGTTGTGGCTTAGTGGTTAATGCCTCTGAGGATCTGTATCTCACTAGCTCCCCATTTCTGGGTAGTAGATTTGAGGCCTCCATAAGGCAGTCCCCAGGTTCTGGCCGCAAGTTAGTTGTTTTTCTCCGGGAACTCCCACTTTCCTACATCACCCAATCCTGGCACGTCCTTAAATGACCTTGGCTATTAATAGGATGTAAAGCATCAGTAAACCAAACCAATTTAAGCTTAAAGAAGATATACAAAAAATTCAATTGAGATTTTGAATGAAGTTTCAAGGAAAACCACATCAGCAATTTGATTCTGGCTCTTAACAGTTATATTGAAATTATTGCAATATTTGCAGTGTAATTTTTAGAGAAAGGATGTCTGTATTGTCAGCTGTTGAATTTGTTTTATGTTTCAGGTTTATGCTATGCAGAGTTTGGTGCCCGTGTACCGAAGACTGGGTCAGCTTACGTATACAGCTATGTAACTGTCGGAGAATTTGTGGCATTCATCATCGGTTGGAACCTAATTCTGGAGTATGTCATAGGTGAGTATACGATAATTCAGAGCCTCATTCTGGAGTTGTTATAGGTGAGTGCACAAAAATTTAGAACCTCGTTCTGGAGTAAATCAGGTTGATGTACAAAAATTCAGAGCCTCATTCTGGAGTCATTATAGGTGAGTGTATGATGATTCAGAGCCTCATTCTGGAGTATGACATAGGTGAGTGTACGATATTCAGAGCCTCATTCTGGAGTATGTCAGGTAGGCGAGTATTCTGGAGTTTGTCATAGGTGAGTGTACAAAAATTCAGAACTTAATGTACTGTTTCATATAAGAAATTGATGTGTTGGTTCTAGTGTAGTTTGATTAAAAATTATATAAGTTGTTTATATATTTTGTACATTTTGCAGCTGAAGTCATTGTTATGTGTTTCAGGGACAGCCAGTGTGGCGAGGGCTTGGAGTTCCTACTTTGACTCTTTAATCAACAAAGTCATACAGACATTTTTCAGGGACCACATGGCAATGAATATCAACGGCCTTTCAGACTATCCAGATCTGTTTGCTTTGGGCATCACATTACTATTAGCTGGTTGGTGATACTATGTTGAAAATTTCTAAAAATACTTTACCCATATATTGGATAATTATATGCATAATTATCTCGCTCCTTCATTAAAATCTGTTTAGTGGATGACTAAAATTTACTTGTCATGTTTCTGAATCATTCAATTAATCTTTCTATATTATCATAGTAGGACTAATTTCAGGGCTTTTCTTTGAGGTTTTTTGGGGCCAAAAATGGGCCCATTCCCAATTGTACCTATTTCATGTTCAGTCCAAATTCCTTTTGAATTTGCAGTATACTCTTGAAAAATTCCTTTCCAATTCACCAATTTTCGTCCCAGAATGAGGCAATTATACCCTGTCCTAAACCAGTAAAATAAATGGACACTTTGATATATGTGGTATATCCATTTACTTTACCTGAAAAGTTTTCAATGTCAATCCAATACTACAACTTTCATTCACTTACAATTTTTTCACATTTAAATAGCTGTACAATATATATATTTGGAATTAAATTTCTCAAAAAAGCTTCTATAAATATCTATAAAAAAAATAAATAGATTGAAGCAATTACAGGGTAAATATCCTATTATTTAAAAATTGTGTTTGCTCTCAGAGACTTATACTTTTTAAAACCATGTTTTCCTCAGAGAGATAATTAAACATTTGTCCCGAAGGTACATTGTACATAAGATACATATACTGTTTGACCAGCTCATTCATCACTGGATATAATGATAAAAATGTTCTGTCTATTTTCAGTGATATTAGCTGTAGGAGTGAAGGAGTCGTCAACTTTTAACAACATTTTCACGGGTGTGAATTTGTTGGTGGTGACCTATGTGATTATCTGTGGATTGTTCAAGGTTGATATACACAACTGGGAACTAAAGCCCTCTGAGGTAAGCTCAAGGCAACATATATTGGCCATAAAAATGTCAGAGATATGACTGATTGAAAGATATCTGGTGTAAATGGTTCTTATCAATTATCACTTTAATTGCTGTTAATTTGCATGAAAAAATATGTTATTATATTTTTAATGGGTGGTATTAATGATGTAAGTATTGTTAAAAAAATAGTTTGGCTGATTGGAGTTTCTGTATTCTGTTTATATGCTAATTCCTCATTGTGTTAATTTGACTAGGAATTTCACCAAATTTAGTATATTTATTGTATAAAGTTTAAATAGAATCAGAAATTTTTGTGGATAGCCAGGAAATAGGAGTTTAATGATAAACTACCATCATATTATTTTTCTTGTTGATAGATAGTGTAATGACTTCAAAAATAAAGTGATATTAAATGTAGTTATGTAAACCAATCCAGTAACAGTAGCTGTGTAATATATATGTATATAGTAGAGAAAAACAGTGTTTTAATAAATCATGATATTAAATGAAAAGTGACATTAAACAGAAATATGACATTAACAGATAAATGACATTAAATGGAGTTTACTTACACTTACACTATCACTTGGTTGGTATCTGTTATGTTGCTGGAATTGCTTCCCCTGGAGCGTCACTCTATGATATTCTGCTGTATTTTTAGCTTCCAGGTAACGCTACGGTATATGGAACTGGAGGATTCATGCCATTTGGATTTTCGGGGATGATGTCTGGAGCGGCTACCTGTTTTTATGCCTTTGTTGGCTTTGACTGTATAGCCACAACAGGTAAAGATACTGAATAAAAGTTTATATTTTCATGAACATTTATTTAATAGTATATTACAGTTATTATTGATAAAGTCATAACCAGTGATAGGTTTATTTTACTCTAAATTATACTGGAGTTAGTATGAACTCTGGCATATTTTGAAAATATTACCTACTTAAGAATCAAATTTTCATCTTTTTCACACTGATTTCGACATAGCATGAAACTTCAGACTGCACATGTCAGTTTAATCTGAAGATCACTCGTTTGTTTTGAACATACATCTAGGTTCAAGGTCATTCATATTACATAATGAATAATAAAAAAAACTTACAATTAATTCTAAACTGTATTAAATACGTTAATCTTTATAGTCAGGTTTCCATAAACCATTATGCATCATTGATCCATGAATTCAAGTCATGAATATTCATTTGTTGATTTTACTTGAATCCTGAATAATTGTTTATTCATGAATATTCAGTAAGTTTTGATTTCAGCTGCTTTGTCATTTTTGATGAATTTTTTTATATGTTTGTAATTATATAATAGATGTAGAGACCAAATTTTTTTAATCTCCTGGTGATCGAAACCAGGACCTCTAATTTTTTGTCTTTAAAACTCAAACTTGATTATCAAAGGGCATAAAAGTGTGTTTGTTCTGCAGGTGAGGAAGTGAAGAATCCTCAGAAAGCCATCCCCATCAGTATAGTGGTGTCACTGATCGCTATCTTTGTGGCGTACTTCGGAATATCAGCTGTGATGACACTGATGTGCCCCTATTATCTGCTAGATGAAGATGCACCTCTTCCAGATGTGTTTGACCGTGCTGGTTGGGGAGTGGCTAGATATATCATAGCGGTCGGGGCAATATGTGGCCTGTCTACAAGGTGTGTATCTGTTAGGTATAATCTGTGTGGTATAATGTGCCAAATTTTCAAGTTGATTGGATTCTCAAGATGGCCACCAGTGACCATTTTTGATAAGAGTTTGTCACCATTATTTCATCAGAACAACAGCATGGTTGCTCCTAAAACATTTTACACATGTTCTGTATAGACACTAAATGTTTATGCAACATTCTAAGCTTCATTGAACTTTTTAAGATGGTTGCCAGAAGCTTTTTTGAATTTTAACGTTTGAGGTTTGTAACCACTTCATATCAAGATCTACTTTAATTCTTAGCTCACCTGGTCCGAAGGACTGAATTTGGTCAGAAGTATCCTTGGGGGAAGGTGAATAGATTTTATATAAGTGGTTAGTCTCTGTCCCCTGGGCATTATTTAACATGATGAAAAATTGGTGTATGCCTGCCTTGGAGCAGAGGATTTTTGGCCTGCTAGGTTAAATAGATGCCGTCTTATCAGATACTTCTCTGTTAGTCTTAATGAATCAAATTCAGCAAACAAAACCAGGTGAGTGATACAGGCCCTATGTGCCTCCTGTATCAGTATGCTCAATAAGTACCTTTATTGTCAAGGTTTTAAATAAACCATACCTGAATTGACTTTCATGGTCATAACATTTTGTTTTCATTTAGTATTTTGTTTTTTATGCCATTTTCCCACCTTCTTTGTACCATCGCCAACAAGAAGATAAAAATGATGATAAAAATATGGAAATGATGATATCGTAACCAATCATGTTCACAGTTTGCTTGGGGCCATGTTTCCTCTGCCGAGAGTTATCTATGCAATGGCCAGTGATGGAATTGTATTCCGGTGGCTTGCAAACATTAACGATCGTTTCAAGACACCATTGATTGCCACTGTGATATCAGGAATATTTGCAGGTAAGTCTACATTGTGTGGTTTGTGTTGTCAGGAAGCACTACATCTAATGCATTATTTTAGAACGTTTTCTTCAGGTTGGTAATATCAATAGAATAGAAATTCTTCTAACACAACCAGTAGAAGGTTAGAGTGTGACGTTTCGATGACTACACGGTCACCATCATCTTATAACACAACCAGTAGAAGATTAGAGTGTGACGTTTCGATGACTACATGGTCACCTTCATCAGACAAATGACCAGTGTGGAGCATATTAGCAATGATGGACGTAGTGTGCGAGATGGTACAGAATCGATCAACTTTTTTGGCTGTACTATAATCCTATGGACATTAAGGTCAAAAATAGCGTGATGAGATGGTAAACAGAGTTAAAAAAGGTGCAGCCGAGAAAGTTCGTCAATTCTGTACCATCTCGTACACTTCGTATTATGCTCCACACTGGTCGTTTGTCGGATGAAAGTGACCTTGTAGTCATCGAAACGTCACTCTGATTTTCTACTGGTTGTGTTATAACAATTTCTATTCTATCTAATACATGACATAATGCAAAATCATTAATTTTGTTGAGCTTTTTATTTTGGTTGATTTTGAGTTACTCTTAAAACCAATTCACATTACCGTGGATGAATTTTCTGTATCATTGAATATCTTATTCACAAAATCAATTGCTCACAAAATAGAAAGTGTTAGAAACAAAAAATAAAAACAAAAATCCTGATTTTTTTTCCACAGGTTAATTTGTTGTTTTATACCATAACATTCTGCAAAGATATTTTCTTGCGAAATGAAACACATAGTATAAACATACAAAATAAATATTTGAAAGGTGTGATGGCCATGATGTTTGACCTGTCCGAGCTTGTGGATATGATGTCTATTGGGACACTGCTAGCCTATACATTAGTAGGAGTCTGTGTGTTACTGCTAAGGTAAGTGATATCAAATTATATATCTAATGTTCACGCTGGGAACAGAAACCTGCAGCAACTACTGCGAGATAAATTGAAATATTACTGTTTTATCCATTTCTTTTCTTCAGGTAATGCATAAATAACTTTATTCATTTTCCATAATTGCGAAACACATTTTTCCATCTTATATTAATCATTCTTGTTGGCCCAGATGGAAGCCTGTGTGGGAGGAAACTGGAATACCCAGTATTTCATTGTTTCCTAATATAACTTTAATGAATCAAATTGTTAAATTTGTTTTCAGATATCGGGTTACCGTTATGAAGACTACAACAGATGGAGACGAAACGTGAGTTCAAGGTCATTCATTGTATAATGGGATAGGAATGTGGCTATGTGGCATTTGTCACCTGTCTGACTATATCATAAAGAGAGGGGGAATACTTTTGATTTTTTTTTTTTCAAATGAACGACCAGACTTACATTCAAGGTCACAGAAGTCGTATATTGAAAAAAAACTACAACAACTTTTCACTAAATCATAAATCCCAATGTCAAATGATGTTTGCCTGGTGTATGAAGAGCTATCAGATTTGATCAGGTAGATAAGTTTTACCAACTTTCAAAGTCAGATGGATCCGAGATATTGAAATATTCGAACAACTTCTTCTACAAAACCAAAAGGCCTAAGGTCAGGATATTTGCCCAATAGGGAAAGTGGAATGGAGTGCTATGATGTTTACTTAGATGATATAATGTGCCAGATCTCTTACAGTCCATCGTGTACAAAATTGTTGTCAGGGATTTCTTCTTCTTGTTCACAATGGTTCCATGACCTCTCACAATCCTGAGACCACTTTGCCTTCCTCCTTTAGGTCTATTTCTTACTCTCTCTCAGTCTTTCTATACCCCTCCCCCCACAACAATGTGACCACCTGAACTTTTCTGAGCGAATATTTTAATTGTTGTTTCTCATAAAAGTACTTGACAAGTCTTTCTCAAATTTTACATCATGACAGGTTCCCTGCTATTTAATTGTTTATTATAATTATAGTAAACATCTAAAGTAAACAAATACTCATGCTGTATCCTCTTGACAAATGAAAACTTAGACAAACATATTGTAGTGATTACGGGCCAGTGTTCCTTTGTATAGTCATCCAGACGAATACCAAAATTTCTAGATGGATAAGTCAAAAAAAGAATGTTTAAAACTTTTCCGTTGATAATTATGTTCTGAAAAAGAGTGTAATGTTTTAATAGGGAATAGAATATTGTGTAGTACCACTGTATGCAATGGTTCAGACCCTCTGAATTAAGATTGCTTGTGACTCGTCACGCATGTATGGGACTTCAAGAAACACTGTCAAGTTTATCAGACTGTGCGAAAGAGAATGTTTGGAGTTTGTTTCTACTCCGGTAAGCATTTTTTTATTTACATTCCAGAAGCAGTGTTAATCAAAGTAGCAGTGATGATGGTGATATCATGGGTGCGAAACGGGAGTCTGACCCGTTAGTGAGTGAAACAACGTATAAAATCATGCTGAAAGCAATGGTAAAATGTAACGAAAAGCAGCCTACAGCACTCACGGAAAAAATCACACAATTCAACATTATTCTTATATGTGAGTAAACAAATTGTCTGCTATTTGTTATATGGGTAAACAAATTATCTGTTATTTATTATGTGAGTTAACAAATTGTCTGTTATCTATTATGTGAGTAAACAAATTGTCTGTTATTTATTATGTGAGTAAACAAATTGTCTGTTATTTATTATATGAGTCAACAAATTGTCTGTTATTTATTATGTGAGTTAACAAATTGTTATCTATTATGTGAGTAAACAAATTGTCTGTTATTTATTATGTGAGTAAACAAATTGTCTGTTATTTATTATGTGAGTAAACAAATTGTCTGTTTATTTATGTGTTTTCTGGTAACATTTTTCTGTACACATGTTATACGGTTCTAATTACGGTTTCTAAAGAAATAAGGATTTGAATTTGAGATGCGCCGGACCTTGAATAGATTTATAGGACCTTTCCCTAGCTGGAATGTAGGAATGAGAATTTTCTGACCAAGGAGGAGATTCATGATTGTCTAATCCGAGAGTGAGACTGTCAGGAATCTCCTCGGAGGGTAGAGATTTCTTTGTTCTACCCTCCTATTAGGGAATTATCCTTTTTCTACCCTTAATTCCCCCTTAAAAACAAATAAGAAAAAATATATACATGTGACATTATAATCATCAGTATAGTCATTTGAATTTGAGGCCCGGATGACAATTGTTAATGACGTCAATGACCCCAACTGACCCCGACACGCCATGAAAATGACGTTATTAACAATTACAAGGACCCGAAATGTCACTTCCTGTGCGTGCAGGCTGTTTTGCCGGAAGTATAGATATTTCTGTCCGGTGGGGTAGAAATATTTCTCTCAACCATATGATGAAGATCTACGGTTGTCTGCTAATACACCGATACAAAACATTATACTATTTATGATATCATAGTACAAGGAGTACATCATGCTTTTTACCGTCTCATCTGCGCGGCAAAGTTGTTGATAGACAGATATATATTGATTTTATTTCATTTCAGGTATAATTATAATAATTCTTAGCATCGTGCTGATCTTTGCTGAGGAAAACCTTGCAAATATAGAAGGTTGGGCGATTACCATAGTGACAATTTTAGTGTTGTCAATCATATTCCTGTTGTACTCTATACGTCTTCAGCCAGAAAATACTCAAAAAGTCAGCTTCAAGGTGAGCCATCGATTACCTGCATACTAAAGATTTGTCAATCATTACAAACACATATATCTAAAACAATTCCGACTTTTCATATCCTAGGAGTTACTAAAATATCTACTGAATAGTTATTATGTTTTTCTAATATTTACAAATGCTTTGAAAACTGTCCGTATCCTGTGAATCCATTGAATTCATTATGAATACTTACACATTCCGTAGCACAAACTTATTATCTACAAATGCTGCATAAACTCTTCCTATCCCACGAACTCCATACAAACTCTTCCTATCCCACGAATTCCGTACAAACTCTTCCTATCCCACGAAATCCATACCAACTTTACCTATCCCGTGAACTCCATACAAACTTTTCCTATCCCGTGAACTCCATACAAACTTTTCCTATCCCGTGAACTCCATACAAACTCTTCCTATCCCACGAATTCCATACAATCTCATCTTTTTCCGCGAATTCCATACAAGCTCTTCCTATCCCACGAACTCCATACAAACTCATCCTATCCCACGAATTCCGTACGAACTCTTCCTATCCCACGAATTCCATACAATCTCATTATTTTCCGTGAATTCCATACAAGCTCTTCCCATCCAACAAAATCCATTCAAACTCTTCCTATCTCGCGAATTCCATACAAACTCTTCCTATCTCGCGAATTCCGTACAAACTCTTCCTATCCCGTGAACTCCGTACAAACTCTTCCTATCCCGCGAACTCTGTACAAAATCTTCCTATCCCACGAATTCCATACAAACTCTTCCTATCCAGCGAATTCCATACAAACACTTCCTATCCAGCGAATTCCATACAAACACTCCTTTCCCGCGAATTCCATACAAACACTTCCTATCCCGCGAACTCCATACAAACACTCCTTTCCCGCGAATTCCGTACGAACTCTTCCTATCCCACGAATTCCATACAATCTCATTATTTTCCGTGAATTCCATACAAGCTCTTCCCATCCAACAAAATCCATTCAAACTCTTCCTATCTCGCGAATTCCATACAAACACTTCCTATCCAGCGAATTCAATACAAACACTCCTTTCCCGCGAATTCCATACAAACACTTCCTATCCCGCGAACTCCATACAAACACTCCTTTCCCGCGAATTCCATACAAACACTTCCTATCCCGCGAACTCCATACAAACACTTCCTATCCCGCGAACTCCATACAAACACTCCTTTCCCGCGAATTCCGTACAAGGTCTTCCTATCCCGCGAACTCCATACAAACACTCCTTTCCCGCGAATTCCATACAAACACTTCCTATCCCGCGAACTCCATACAAACACTCCTTTCCCGCGAATTCCATACAAACTCTTCCTATCCAGCGAATTCCATACAAACACTCCTTTCCCGCGAATTCCATACAAACACTCCTTTCCCGCGAATTCCATACAAACACTCCTTTCCCGCGAATTCCATACAAACTCTTCCTATCCCGCGAACTCCATACAAACTCTTCCTTTCCCGCGAATTCCGTACAAGGTCTTCCCATCCCGCAAATTCTGTACAAACTCTTCCTTTTCTGTGAATTCCATACAAATTCTTACCATCTTACACATTCATTACCATATGTTTGTATCTATATCTTAACAACTTCTGTAAATATCTTGACATGTGGTCCTTACAACGGTACGTAAAGCAATATATGTATTTTTTCTGTCCCTTGTTGATAAAAAATTGTTAATTTGGTATTTTTTCTGTCCCTTGTTGATAAAAATTGTTGATTTTGTTTCTGTCCCTTGTTGATAAAACGTGTTGATTTTATTTCAGGTGCCTTTACTACCAGTCTTACCAGTGCTAAGTGTGTTTGTCAATATCTACTTGATGTTAAAGTTATCAAGTGCTACCTGGATACGATTCGGAGTATGGATGTTTATAGGTAGGTTAGCGATATATACATATATATTAGACACCAAGCTAGAAAGTCCTCATCCTCACACGCTAGTACACTCAAGCATACACCGGAATCATAGATTGTCCGCGAGACATGATATTAACTCAGCTCTAGGATATTGATTTGATTGGTCACTAGAGTAATTCAGATCAGAGTAGACCTATAAGATTTGAGTGATTGGGTTTCAGTAAGAAATATTTATTAACATCCCACCATCATCAGATAGTAGGCTATTAAAATTGCCCTACATCTATGGTCCGTCTTCCATCCGTCCATCCGTCGTTAAACAATATTTGTCATCACTCTCAAATTTCATATGTTGGTTCTTTTAATTGGTCCTTAGTTGTGTCCGTTTGATTTCGATATTGATAAAAAAACATAAACAAAATGGTTGACAAGCAACCATCTTGGATTTGGCAGATGAAGATTATTATCACTATTTCTGTAAAGGAATGTTCAAATTTGGTATTATTGAGAGAAAAAGACCAGAGAAGGGAAAAGAAAGGAAAAGATCCAATAACTTTAAAGAACAAATAAAGATCAAACAATAGTGGGGGCCAAGATCCCTCTGGGACCTCGTTTAAATTCTTCATTGCTTTTGAAAATTGAAAATAACCTTCTTAGTCAACATTCATATCCTATCAAAGAGCAAATTTTAAAATAGAAATTAATAAATTACAAAAAAAACTTATTAAAAATGATTAGCACTTTAAATATTTCCATATATAAAGTATTGCCTTTCCAAGCACCTGTTTACACTACAACCTTGTCCTCGCACTTGTATATATTTCCTTTCAGGCTTCCTCATATATTTTTCCTATGGGATATGGCACAGCACAGGAGCCGATCCGATCCACGACGAATATGTCCTCCTCACAGACTCTCTTCCTAGTCCTTCCCCTACCTCAGGTGTCCTCTCAGGCAGCGAGGACAGTCTCTTCGACGGTGAGGCTGTGCGGAGCTCACGTGATATAGACCGAGATACACATACATTGTCAGATGATATATAGGAAAAAATCTGACGTGTTCTGTACGTGTTCGTTTTTTTTCCGGAGTGCAGCTGATTTAAAGAAAGGTCTATGGTATACACAATTGAAATGCTAAGTTACTTACAGACATATGGTGGAGAATGATTTTTACAATGACTTTAGTGCTGTGTGAGCCTCCTATGACCCTGCTAGTCAAAAGTATAAAACAGTTTGGTAACTGAAAATACTTTAAAGTAAATGATGGGAATGAAAATAGTATCGCAAATTATTTATACCGATAATAGTAGACATAATAATGGCTGGAATTGAATTAATTTAACACGTGTTGAATTATTTTTAAAAAGCTTAAAATGGGAGAACTGAATAATTGATTTGAAATTTAAGTTTAATGCGTTAAAATTGGAACGGCTAGTCATCTTGTTTTGTTCTGAGAATCAAATACCTATAATATTTTTATGTGTTGTTAAGGTACTCGTAACTAAGGGAAAACAACATATGAATGGATAAAAAGCAATAAGTAAGGATTTTCTTATATCTTCATAGGTAACTTTCAGAAAAAAACTAAAACTGAAATTATTTTATGAAGGAATGTGTTAAAACAGTTAAAATGCTTACCCAGAACACAGGTAAAAAAATAAGGAATCTTTAGACTTTCACTTGTATAATAAGATGTAGATTATATTTTCAATCAAATTCAAGGTGAATTTAATTACTACCACAATTAAAACAAAATGATAATTATAATGTTATTGATCTAACAATGTATAATTGAGACATAAATTTGTTCCATGGATGATGTGATTATTTGATATGTCATGACTTTGTAAATATGTTTTCAAAATTCATTAAGATCATTTTCAAACTGTAACATTCACGGTGCAAGTTGCCTCCCCTCCTACAAAGGCCCTTGTACTTAAGTTAAAATGGTTGCTATTTACGTTTGAATTGCATTACTATGGTGATATTTTTCTATTGAGAAAAGTTACATGTAGCTTCCACCATTAATCAGGAAATCCCTTTTTATATTTGAAAAATATCAATTTGATTTGGCCTTGGTAGATTGGGATATTTGTTTATTTTTATTTTTTTGTGCGTGATTTAATGTTTTCTTCTGAAAGTGATATACTGTATCAATACAAAATAATCCCTTTGTCACATATTTTGTTGATCCGAGTTGAAATTAGTTTTTTAGAGAACATTTAAAAGATGTTTATTTTAATATCAATCTGGCCTTGCCTTGGAAGCCTTTTATGGTTTTTATAAACAAGCACATTGTAACAACAACTACACTATAAGTAGTATGTTGACATACATCTGTATGCAATACATCTTTTATTTTTTAAATCCTCAGACGGCCTTTAACAGTTTTTATATTTCTATTTTCAAATTCCCGAGATGGCATACATTTTTTCAATTCCTCAGACGTCACATAAAGTGGTTATTTATTTAATTATTTTCTGCACATATTTTGAAGGATTTTTTTTGTCGTTTAAAATTTTAATATTGTTTTTTAAACTGTTTTACTGATGTGTTGGACCAAGATTTCTTTAATATACGTTTACTTGTGTTTTGATTTTTTATCATTTAAAAATCTCATTTTATATATAATTGATCATTTTTGCATCTGTATTGAGGTTGTGAAAAAGCATTGAAATTTTTTTGAAATGTTTGCATATAAATAAATTTGAAATAATGATATATATATATATAAAATCTTGTCAAACCACAGGGAATTCAACATTGGTTAAAACTAACTTATCTTTCAGTCTTTTATTTAACTATGTACATGGGAAACATATGTTTACATTTGTGTATATAAAATTATAGAAATTTTCTTGAATATGTATATATTAGTTTAACACCATATATAACTAAATTGTACTAACAACATATACCATCATTGACAGATTCCAGTTAAATTGATCTTTCACTACTGATAAATGGCATGACTTCAGAATCTCTTGACATTGGTTCTTCATGGGTGGAACAACAAAATATTTCTATCATACTAATCCTACTCGTACTATGAATCTATAGGACTATAATTATGTTGCATCTGAAATTTATCCCAAACAGAACAGAATAATTGTGATGTGACTTAGGTTGATGTCATGTCCCCGCGAATATCTCCGACTGTAATCATCCTAGACTACTAATATCCCAGATAATACTTGGGTAAACTAAGGGTCCTAGGATATACTATACTTTTGTCTTCCTTCACCCAAAATACAGCTTATATTTTAAGACACTTACCATGTATTCTATTTAACTTGCAACACTGATTGAAAATAAGACCATCAAAACTTCAACAATTTTGTTGTTAAATCTGTGTTTACCCGACATCGACGTTACGCTGAATTTTGCCTCATGACGGACACCAAAATAATTGCTCCGCGCAGAAACATAGTTCCAAACTTTATCGGATATAACCGCGGTTTTATGAATTTTCATAAATCATCTTTTTCATTAAAACATGTAAAATCGCTTGTTTCAACAACTATTGATTATCTAAACGTAATATTCAAAAACATTCAGAGAGTAATTCTGTCGAATTACCGCACGTGCTAAAATACGGCTGTTTTCCGTCACTGCTAAACACAGCGAGACTATATGTGGCAGATATATTCCGACAATGGCGGTGCCAGTTGCAGGATAAATGATATTGATAGATTGGGATGAATTTTATTTGAACACAGTTCATCGTAAAAAGTGCAATGGGATTGGGCACAAGTTTTGCAACTCATGTAAAACGCTTTCCCCATCAAGTTTGAGAGAGAGAGAGAGAGTATTGTTACTTGGACTATCTGAAGTCGGTGACGTCTTCAGTGCGTCTCGTGTCCTCAGTTACCGCGTGATCACTGATTCGTGTCACGTTACTTCCTTTGTGTATTACGTGATATCATTCATGCGTCATGTGACCTCTGCTTGATCCAATGAGAAGTTGGAATAACAGCATATCATGGCGTTGTGATAGAATTTTGTGATAGATGTTGATGTGATTTTGGTGCTAGAGATTTGTTCTTAATCACAGATATGTTTTACATACCAAAGATTGTTATATACAGTGTGACGTTTTATCATTGATGAATAAAACAATTTTGTTTTAACGTTTTTTAACTTCGTTTTTTTCGTATTGCATGAATCATCACAAGTAGAATTGTAACGTAAACAGGTCGTTTAGTATCTTGGAAGTTACGAATTAAATAGAAAGCTTACATTTCGGAATGTAAAGCTGCAATTTGTTCTCATTTGGGTTCAGGACGTTACTCACCAAGATAGACCAATATTTACATAGGAGATTTCGTTGATGAGCAAACTTAGGCGACGCTAACCCTTTTAGAACACCGGGTCTTGTTTCCTACTTTTTCTGGAGTGTAAATCTTTTCTTAATTCATATTTTGATCTAGTTTCATGGACTTTGAGCTTGAATTAGTAATCTGTTGACATGTCGGTACAATTTATATCTTCAACTCTTCTTTTGTTGAAGTATCTAAAATTCAGCATTTAGTAACTCAAAGCTGAAATTTTGTTCAGACTGTAGAGTTCAAAGATCTTATCAATTTTTAAAACGAAGACGACGGCCTTCAGGTTATTAAACTTTGGACTAGGCTAAAGTAAAATCACGGAAGCCAGTTATGATATTTCATGACTTATACTCGTACTTCTACAACATGATGCTAAACTTATTTACACTTCTAACTACGCAATCAACCACGTAACAATGGTATAAAAACGGATTTATCGAATTACACTGACGTCACTAGCTGATCCATATTTAAAAACTTATTTTCTTGAAGCATTAGAAGAATAAGGCTTCCACTCTTCTTCCATGATTTTACTGAAAAGTCACGGTTAATTTAGACCTGACACATTCTTTGGATCTGAAATTGACATCGTTACCGTTTGTTACCTGGCTACCAGCGTGTTCGACGTTAATCTCGCTAAATCTCGTTATGTTTCGGGGCAAATCTAATTTTCACATGTGGTTGGATAATTAACGGTAATATTGGAATAAATCTTCAGATTAAAGGAAACATTTTATATGGAGTTTCCCCTGACCTACTTAATTAGTATCAATGTTCGTCTTAGCAGCGACTAATGACAGTCATTACCGGTACGAGGGTATCCGCCGAGCCCAATAATCAGACGGAAGCAGACGGATCACATCATCAGATATCTCTGTCTCGTTAGTCGTTGAGTTATCTCCACTTACCTGATTTAATAATTCTCGATAATTGCCTTCCTTGCTTTCACATGATAAAACCTCCTGCCAGACCAGTCAGGATACACCCGGGTACGTACACAAGTATTTCACTGCCCCTCGCACACCATTAGTCTTTCCTTCATCGAAAGTTGCTTGTTTCAAATGATTCAGAATGACTCGCGTCCAGCAGGGAAGAGGTATATGTATGATGTCTGATTGTTAACAGTAGAACATTTGTGTAAAAGTACCAATTATGATCAGATTTATATAATGCTATAACATATATGCGGCAGGTAATGAAACTCAATACTGTTTGATCTTAAATCTTCATTCTATTTCGTATTACGCACGAAAGGTTAAACCTTATGGACTGATACTCGTCTAATGAATACAACTGATACTCTTATGTAGGATTAAGTATTGCTATATTTACAATGTAAGATTTACATAATTGAACAAATATATTCTATGCTAATGGTTGTCTGTTGATATTGTATCATTCTATCAAGGGTTTGTCGTGTACTTTGCATACGGAGTCTGGAACAGCAGCGAAGGTGAAAAGTACAAACAAAAGCAGTCAACGGACCCGAAGGAAAATGTATGTTAAAGTCAACAGGGACGATGAAACAAACTGTTACTGGAGTAAGCTTATGACCCAAGAGAAATAAAACTGATTACGGTAATAAATTACCGAAGATAGACATTAAACTGTCTGGGATTTAAAACAATACTGGATAGGGAATGCTGATTTTGTCTTTTTACGACTTCATGCTAAACAATGACTGTATTTGCTTTTACATGAATATAAAAAAAAAGTCGGCCATTTTTTTCATATTTTGTACTTGTATAAAATAACACTGTGTAGAAGTTTGATATTTAGAAATAGCTTGTAATGATTTGAGTTTACATCAATTGTCGATGTTCGGAAAAATCTCCCTTTGTTTTAAGGTAGAGGTTCTGCTTTCACATTCTATTACTTGTATAGCATCATTCTTATTTTTTAACCAGAACATGTTTAGAGTGTACGCTGCCGTGGGATATTGATTTTACCCGATGTCGATTTCAGATATGCTGCTGAATAGATTTCCTCCTTATCATGTCAAT